CGTAGCATCACACACGCTCAGTCCTGGTGCATCACGGCACCAAGACCCATTTCCAAAGCTAGGACTGAAGAAGGCAACACTACGACTTGTCGACTTTTTGTTCTGTGCCTCTCACGTTAACTAACTAGCCGATTGTAAAGGTTGAATAAGCGTGTTCGCTGCACAGGCTGGGTGTGTCAGGGATTGGGGGCGGTCGTAGGAGGAGAGGTGGAGAGGGGGGAGAGGCTGGATTTGGACTGGCACCGGCTCGTTTTCCACCAGTTGTTGTCGCTTGCCTTTTTCAACAGTTGGTAGGGAAGGCGTGGCGCAGCGCCAAACCCAGCTCCTCGACACGCCCCAGCTCCTACAGCGAAAACGACAGTGTCTGCTCCCCTGCTTGCAGCATTCAAACTACCAATGTGAAATTTACTCAACTAGCGATTTAAGTTTCGATCTACAGTACGCAATAAAAAAAGATACAACCCGTAATACAGTAATCGACGAGGGAAAACAAGGCGAAGAAAGACAGAAACAGCAATGAAAGCATTATGGGTTACGGTATATACAAGGAGGTGATGAGTTCATCGGGAAAGGACACGGGTATGGAATGCAAGATTAGAGAGCGAAATGGAGAAAAATCTGACAACTAGCTGTCACTATCTGACATGGAATGACGTCATCTATACAGTACACGTCGATCGATAACTAACGACTAGCAAAACCCGCAAGTTTTTGGACAAAGCGAAGTCATCATGGCGTAGATCGCCGGCGCTCGACATCGATCTGCTGTCCACCAGCACACAGTGATCTTATCCTCACATCCTTAATAAATATCAATAAATAAGATCAAACTACACGCTCCTAAATAGAAAAACTGTATGTGCGGTAACTGTTCTTCTCAAAGGCGTAAAACATGATAATTAGGTACTCGGTCAAAATGGTAGTAGGTGTGCTCTATAGTGGAAAAATGGCGAGAAAGCGAAGTGTAAATCTGCATTTGTACTTTGCGGCAGCGTAGCGCTTCCAGCGTACGCCAGCGGCAGTGCCGGGGAGAGGATGCATATCGATCTAGCGTTCCCAGCGTCACCAGCGTAACGCTAGCGTTTCGCCAGCGTTTTGCTGGCGTTTGCAGCGCTAGGGGAGTAGACATTCGCAGGCATTCGCTCAGGCATTCGTCCTTTCTATTGATATATTAATAGAAAGGACGAATGCCTGACCATCACAAACGAGCTCGCCCCGTTTGCTGACCTGTGTGGGCTTCAGTTGCCATCGGCATCAAGTAGAGCGGTCAGGTCAGCTGAAGCCACCGACGGGGAGTCTATTTAGCGGTGGTCTCAAACAAGAACCCAGGTCAGTGCATTAAAGGTGTAGTCGTTGTTGGTTTGTTTCTAATGAACTTCCTGGATTCCTGGTCTGAGACTAGCTTATCTGAGGTTTGAGATGATTTCCGAGGGTAGTTTCACTTTGATTTTTGAATTTTTCGAGGCTGTGACGAAGGCCGATAAGGCGCGACAGAAAACGTTAGCAATAAACTGCTTCCACTCGGTATATCTGAAGCTAGTGTCACAAGCTCCAGAGAAATAATTTTCTCAAAATTCGAGGAGAATACTGATCGATTACAGGTTAACAACGTGGCGGTATGAAGCGGTCTGTGGAGCGAAACCTCTGAGATTCAGAGAAAACTAGGGTGAGTGTGGGTGAGGAGGGAGTGTGGGTGATGCGGAGTATGTGTTTCAGGGTTTCATAGCTCTCGATTGTATCATTTCCTACAAATCAAGTGATGTTCTCACTCGTACGAATGTCTCGTGTATCGTGAACCTAATCGCGAGCAGATAGAACGGCCCCGGGCGCAACAATGACCGCAGACGCGAACGTTCGCCTCCACTGTCCGAAATGTATCGTTTGCCATTTAGAGCTTCATTCCTCAGGGTCACGGTGCGTCCAAGTTTGTGGGCGGAGGCCGGAGCGCGGGGGCGCGTTCGGTGCGATGGTTGCAGCTTGATAGGACGCTATAAAGACATATTCCCTGGAAAACGCGCTATGCAGCGTCTGCTCATGGTCATGGGCGCCACATTCTATTCTGTTAAGCGTGTTAATGCTAAATGTCTTGGAGATTTATCGCGCTACTTGCTTCAAGGGCTTAATTGTAGCAGAAATCTCAGGCGTTACTGCTGCTCGGAGGGGCCACGCGGCTAAACGACTTCTTCGCAACCTTCTGCGATCGTGCACACCTGCGCACAACTAGCGACCTGTCACTCATTTCCGAAGGGGAAATTTCGTGTCAAAGACATCCATGTGAAAATGAAGGTGATATGAGCCGATTCTCTTGAATGTGTGCTCTTCCGAACTGTCACGATTCCTTTGCCAGGAGACAAACGACACTGAGAAAAACTAAAAAAAAAATTGGGCGCACATTTATATTTCCTCGAACTAATGCGTGCTACCCTGACCGACGAGTTACGATGTGATTTGGTTGAATAAGGCTAGAAATTTTATAAGAAAAATAATCCGGCCGTAATACCCCGTTACTCCAAAATTATTTTTTGAAACTTGAATACGTTGTGGTTTGTTCGAATGCATTCCGTCGTAGTATTGTGGCGGAAGTTTCGGTCGATCGTCGTACTTGTTGATCGCTTGGTAGATTGGACTATGCTAAATTGGTCAGAGGTGATGTCTATAGTATCAGTACGGTAATCTATGGCACTCCTCACCTGGGCTCTGGCAAAAGGAGCCGTTTGTTGCTTCGTTTCACTCGGACAGCTGTACATCCGATTGATTTTCGCCAAATCGACGTCACTGAAGTCTTTCGCATTACCAATCGTAGCGCTGAAAGGTGAAAAGGGATTATGAGTTTTTGCCCATGAAGAGGTTCTGGTTTACCTTTAAAAAGGAGAGGATCGCTGTCTCAACCGCTCGACTATGCCGCGGCGCGACGTAGGCCGCGCTTCAGACGTCGCCGGACGCCAGCGCTTCGGTCTGCGGTTGCGACGCACGGTCGATGGCGTATTGGCATCTCGACTGCTCGGGATCGGCGGTCGAGGGCGCGCACTGCGCTACCGCTCGCGAACGTTGAAAAAGCGCTGCCTGAATAGAGTAAGTGGCACTGGCGATCTCAAATAAAACGTCTACCAAAACGATGGCTAGAAAGCGGTGACTTATTCGGCCTCCATTGTTCTTTATTTCTTGGTTTCGATAAGCTGTCGCACAGATCGCATACGCCTTAACTTCCTCTCTGACGCCGAACTCGGCCAAATTGGAAGAGAGAATGTGAACCTCCACGTTAGTTTTATTGCGAAGGGAGACGACGGTGTGTCAGAATAGAATTCTCCGACCGTGCGATCGCCCTTGGTACCGGTCTCGTGTGAACCTACATATCGTTTGGAAATCGACTGTATAGACGTCAGCGTCGCTTTTGAAATCTAAGGATCTAGTCTAGATCACATTGAGATCGCGACCGGAAGAGTAGGCGTTATAATTAGGTTGTTCGCCCGCGATGTTGCATTAACGCACATGACCCAGGCGATTCAACGAGGCAGTGCTGTAGTGCAGCAGGTCAACCGGTTAGAAGCTATCCTGCTGGTGTGCGGTACTGCAGCTCGGATGTCGCCAAACTCACAGCCGTGACATTTGAGCCGGCCAACGAGGCCGACTGTGATTGCGTTATCAAAGATCCACAGCCAGAAACGCCTCTTTGCACTGAGTTAGTTTCTCGATCGGCCCATTTTACAAATCCGTCGGGACCATAAGAACCGAACGGTATTTTGTTTATATTTCTCAATGATTAATTTACTATTTAGTTATCGTCTCGTTATGGACTCACGACAGCTTGTTATTAACGACAAGTTTTTGACTGTCAAGATGGCGTGTATTTCGGCAAGTTTATGCGCTTTAATAAAAAAATAAATAAATAATAAAATAAAACAAGCTGTAACGTAATACTTACATTTCTGTTTTGGTAACATCGTTGGGAAGCCATTCTTACTGAATGCCAAGCTATCGTAGTGTAGTATAGATTTGTAGTCGTACGGTTGCCCTAGGACAGTGGATTTACTCAATCCACGTTTCCAGTTGGTTAGCGCACTGGGAAGGGCGGTTGCAGCAATTCTCAGAGGCGAAGAGTTTTCTTAAAAGAAAAGAAACGAGTGCGCAGTTTGGCGACGGAGAGTTTTGCTTCCAGATAGATGTGTGGACCGGATCTAGCAGCCGTTCTCTCGCAGTTGCACGGTTGTAGGGATAGAGTGCTAGACGATCTTACTTCAGCTTCAGAGTGCACAAGTTTTACCAGAGTGAGATTTGTAAGCCGGAACTAGGGAAGCAATGATAATACAAAATGCCCCCCCCCCGTCGACAAACAGCGCCAGAAAACAGTAAGGCAGCGTTCAGACTTCGCGACGGCAGCGCTTCGGTCGCGCGTTCGACGCGATCGATGCGCATGCTTTCGACTGCATTGATCGCGTCGAACGCGCGACCGAAGCGCTGCCGTCGCGAAGTCTGAACGCTGCCTAATAAGGCTCCACACGGCTCAATATCCTGCCCTATGGCGAAACAATCGCGACAGAACCTACCTCTGTCAATGTTCTGCCAGATGATGTCGATGAAGTTATCGCGATCCCATCGCTCTGTAAAGTTTTGGTGATATTTATCAGGAAAAAACTGGCAAACAAGTCTTTTCTCTCCATTTTGAAAACCCCACATTGGGCTTTATTTCAGTAGAATAGGATGTTTTGGTGCAATAGTTCGTTCTGGTTACGGTAATTCCTGAGGAGAACCTTATTACGGTGATTCCTGAAGAAATCTTACCACAAAATGCCTTGAAATAGCAGCGCGCTGAGAAAGTAGGGTTTTATTCCATGGCCTGCTGTTGCGATCCGATATCGTTTGAAATTGAATGGATTCACTTTTCTTTGAAGTTTATCCCTACTGTATGAATTTTTCCAATTTTGTTTGTTTGTTTATCTATCCGGAGCTACTTTTACCCGAACAGTACCGGAGAGTCATGCTACCATTGCGATGGGTAGTGTATGGGACAGGGCACATCATTGGTTGGGGATTTTGGTCGAGTCCGTACGACCCTCACCCCTTTTTAAGGGTTGGTACGACCCCCATCCGGCCCTCTGTCCCTCCAAATCGAGGTGTCGAGCGAGGGGAGGGGGGAATGGAAGGAGGGGGTGTATAGTACACATGAAACAGGAAAATCACGAAAAGTCAACCACCTCTCCCAGAAGGCCAGAAAGTAAGCAGAAAAGTAAATACGACCTCCCCCCTCCCCCTCCATCAACGGACAGTACGATCCCCTTTTACAACAAGAAAAAGCCACTATCAAAAATGAATTTCTCTCAAGCCCCAAATACGACCTCCCTCTTCCGACGACCAAATAGGCCCCCTATTGTGATCAACACGTGTGTCCTGGTCTGGGATATGTGCAGAGAGAACACATAAAGCAGCCTATGCCCTGTTCATGGTGGGTAGGCACCAGGGCGCGCCATCGTTTTGGAAGTCACAGCGGAGGGGTCGTATCCGACCGCGAGGAAGGGGCGAGGCTGTCGCCGTAGGGCTATTCAGAAGCGGAGAGGAGCGAAATTTTCATGGTTCTGCTGTGAAGAGAACCTGAAGAGACTCCTGAATACAGAGGCAAGTTGCAGGCTCAGAAGTGGGGAACAGGTGGTGACAAGAAGTACGCTGCCCACCCACAACGACGTCATGGATTAATAAGCAGACGAAGTACAGTAAACGCTTGTTTGGAAAATATCCCCGTTGTACCCCTTTCTGAACCGCTTCTAACAAACTATAAATTGGACTGCGCCGGAAGAGTGGGTTTTTCGTGCCGCCCAAACTGTCCACAACAACTACAGAACGGGGATTTTTCTGGAAAAAAATAAAAACTCGTATGTTAGTCTCTAAAATTTGACGATTTCCCAGTAGAAATATTTCCTAAGAAGGAAGATGGTCAAAATGGCTCAAGCATTGTTAATCAAAACCGAACCTATAGCCAGCGTACATCATTAGTTGGGGATTTTGGTCTATCCGCCCTTTTTTAAGAGATTGGTACGACCTCCTCTCGAGCAGGGGTACCGCGAGGAAAATACGACCATAACCTCCTACCACTTTTCCGAAATTTCCCAAAAATTTTCCTACTTTTACCCAAAAATTTTGTTGTTGAGCGGAGGAAGGGAGGGCGGAAGGGTATACAGGGGAGTGGGGCAAAAAAAAAAGACACTTCGGCCGAGTCACATATCAATAAAGTTTTCGCAGCTCAGACAGAAGTCGTGGGTGGGCGGAAGATACCCAAGGTTTTCGCAGCTCAGACAAAAGTCGTGGGTGGGCGGAAGATACCCAAGATGTTCCTCGATAAGCAGGAGCAGGCTCTCGCCCATCACCTTCATGTACACCAAAATATGAAGTCATCTCCAATCGACTGGAGAAGGCCTATGGAATTCACGTCACCTCCAAACAGCTGCGAAACTTCTTGTATGGAGTCACCCATGGACAGCTACCTGGGGACCGGCACTCTTGATCTGGAAGACCTCCAACATCGAGCAGCTCCGACAACGTCGCTACGGTCAGGATATCATCTTCATCGCCAAGGCGCGGGTTGATTGCGCAGACCGCCAAGGCGCGGGTTGATTGCGTAGACCGGAAGTCAGCTCGAGGAGAATATCCTGCCTTCATGTCGTCGCCCGTACCATCTTGGAAACTTTGTACTGCTACAGGATTGGGTGACACCACATGGAATCGAAGGGAAAAACTCTTGCCTACTTGGAATGGAAGGGCGTTGAGAACCTGAAGAAGACGGAATATCCAAGTGTGTCACCTGACCTAAACCCCCTCGATTACCGGGTCCGAGCGGAGCTCAACAGGGTGGTCTACAGTGGCGGAGAAAACAACAATCTCGCTGAACTCAGGTACCCACT